AGGACTTCCATAGAATACAGCCTGAATATAATTGCTTCCAGAAATTTTTTTTGGGGGGTGTTAACGGGGTGCTTTGGTCTTTCTTGGGGGCTTTCTTTTCAGCCCCTCCCTAGCGCCGCCCGTGCATATGCCTATCCATTAACGGGCATTTCTTCATAAATATTCAAAATTTTGATAAATGCATTTATGGCATTATATATGGCATTATGCATAGTAGAACTTTATGTAGGCCTACACATTTAGGAACAGATATTGGGTTCTGGCCAAAGTCAAGCAACATAAAAGTAACGTAAAAGTAACGAGTAACGTAATAAGTTACTTTCCATATGGGGTAACTAAGTAAAGTAACGGATTACTATTTTTTTAAGAAGTAACGTGTTACACTACTTTTTAAAAGTAACTTCCCCAACACTGCTTAGTCGGTATAGGGTCTAACATGCATGTTGTCGATTAAGATGATTTAACGAGTTTAGAAAATTCTTCCTCTCCTATAGCAATGAATGAATCACATTTTCCTCAGGTAGACTACAATGCACTGCCTGATGCGATACTGTAGCAGACGGTTGCATAGTTATAAATTTCTCCCTGATATTAGCAATCTTGTAAGTAAAGAAGTTCATAAAGTCATCACTGCTGTGCTGCTTGGAAACGTCTGAGGTTGAAGCTTTATTTTTCGTTAATTTATTAACTGTTTCAAATAAATACCTAGTGTTTTGTTTATTTTCTTCTAATAGGTTGAAAAATAAGCAGATCTAGCAGCTTTTAAGGCCTCACTGTATGCAATCGTGCTCTCCTTCCATGAAATACGAAATACCTCTAGTTTAGTTTTCTTCCAGTTGCGCTCCATTTTTCTGGCTGCTCTCTTAAGGGCCTGAGTGTGCTTGTTGTACCACGGCGTTGGACTATTTTCTTTAATCTTCTTTAGGTGCAACAGAGCAACTGTGTCTAAAGTGCTGGAAAAAAGAGAGTTAAAAGTTTCTGTCGCAATATTGAGTACTTCTAAGCTGTCTGGGATGCTGAGATGATGAAACTGATCAGGAATATTATTAATAAAGCAATCTTTAGTGGCAGAAGTGATAGGTCTAACATATTTGTAACACGGAGTCGGCTTTGCAGCCTTGGCTAAATTAAGTATACACGAGACTAGATAATGATCTGAGATGTCATCGCTCTGCTGCAGAATTTCAACGGCATCAACATTGATTCCATGCGATAATATTAGATCTAGAGAATGATTACGACAATGAGTAGGTCCTGACACGTGTTGTCTAACTCCAATAGATTTCAGAATATCTTTAAATGACAATCTGGATGGATCTTTTTCATTATCTACATGTATATTAAAATCACCAACAATTAGGACTTTATCTGCAGCCAGTAATAACTCTGATAGAAAGTCAGCAAATTCTTTGATAAAGTCTGTATGGTGCCCTGGTGGCCTGTATACAGTAGCCAGCACAAATCTCAAACGTGATTTATCATTTACATTAGATAGTGTTACATTAAGCACCAACACTTCAAAAGAATTATATTTAAAAATAGACTTCTCAGTAATTCTGAAGATATTACTATAAAATACAGCAACACCTCCCCCTTTGCCTTTCAGACGAGGCTCATGTTTATAACTGTAATCTTGGGGGGTGGACTCGTTTAAAGTAATGTAATCGTCTTGTTTTAGCCAGGTTTCTGTCAAACACAGCACATCTAGGTTATAATCTGTACTTGTATCATTAACAATAAGTGCTTTTGAAGTAAGGGATCGAATATTCAGCAACCCGAGCTTTATCATTTGTTCATTCGTATTATATGTGCTTTTTATTTGTTGAACATCAATTACATTTTACCCTTAAATGGGTTTAGGAGTTTTGTGTATGCCCAAATTCAGGTAACAGACACTATATGATGATATATAGGTGAAAGAGTCTCTATGTGATGGGATTTATCTGACATCAGTTACGCGGGACAGCTAGCTATTGAGTGAGTGAGTCAGTGAATGAGTAAGTGAGTGACTAAGTGAGTGTGTGTGTTTGTGAGTGAGTGAGCGAGTGAGTGGGTGATAGATTGAGTGAGTGCGTGAGTGAGTGACTGAGTGTTTGTGTGAGTGAGAGAGAGAGAGATCATCAGTGAGTGAGTGTTTGTGTGTGTGTGAGTGAGTGAGTGAGTGAGTGAGTGAGTGAGTGAGTGAGTGAGTAAGTGTATGTATTTATGAGTGAGCGAGCGAGTGGGTGAGAGAGTGAGAGAGTGAGTGCGTTAATGAGTGCGTGTGTGAGCAAGTGAGTGAGAGAGATCATTGCCTGACATTAACCTCTCGGGTCCCCCTCTCATTACCCAGGGTGCCGTGCGGGTCGGGGTTGGTGGCCCCGTCTTCACCTGGAGCCCGAGAGCGATTGAATCAGACAGCTGTCAGTGTCAGTGCGCAGGCGAGAGCCATAAAAGAGCACAAACGAGCGTCGTTACTGCGGGGACAGTGATTATCATAATGGCAACAATAAAGCCTATGGTCGTTATGGCGGTGATGATGATGATGATGCTGGGGTGATTAATGCTGGGAGATAAATGAGAACGATGTATCACACTCCTCCCTGCAGCGGAACCACACATCGAGTGTGTGTGTGTAATGAATTACGGTCTGCATGTGTCTGCATGCACATACATGTGATCATAAATCACGCGCTGCATGATTTCACACTCACGCCAGGATGTGTTTTGCATGTACAAGAGAAAAAATCTTCAAGGTGAATGTCACAAAACTTGTTAAGAACGTGTTCGGGTCATAATCAAAAGGAAAAATAAGAAATTATGTGTTGCTTAAAGAAAAAAAGAATCCTTTTAGATCCAGTTTCTTTTGATTGGGACATTATTTACATGATCATTAAGCACATTCCCCCAATTAGCATTTCCATAATGCAAAAGAAAAGAAGAAATATTATGTAAATTAGATTAAAGCTTAAATTAAAGGTTATATGTAATGATATTATTTGTTACATGCCATTAAGTCATTTTTAAAAATCATATATAACAGTATTTTTATAGCATTACTGTAAAAAATTACTCTATTACAGCAATGGAAATATAATGAGAATTATCACTGAGAACTATAAACAAACATATGCATTACAGTAATGGGAATTTGCAGTGAAAATATATAGTTCAGTCCTGAAACTCTAGAGGGTGCAGGCTGATTGGTCACAGCATCACCTCATGGCACAAGCTGATTGGCCTGTGCTGATCCTGCAGCCAATGAGATTGCTTGCTCAACATTTAAATAGCCTGTTTCAGTGTTTGCTGTAAGCTCGTTCCTCTGAACCCCTCCACCTCCCCAGCTCCACCTGCCTAGATCTGCTACAGGAGTTATGCAGATCTTACATGTTCACAGCAGTGTCTCTGTGTGTATTAGCAGTAGCAAGTCTATAATTGCTCTGCAACATTAACATGCTAAAAATATTCAGAGAGTTTTCAAGATTGAAATTGGGTTTATTGGCTTTTTTTCTGTCGATGCAATGGTCGTAAAATAAGGTTTAATGTTCTTTTCTTGCTTTTGTCTTGTAATTTTTGGGTAAAACATGACCCAAACATGTTTTTTTTTTTTTTTTATAATTTCTTATTATTTTTTGTCTATAGTTTTATTTCAGTTTAATGCATCAGGTTTAGTGAGGAATGACGCTGAAACTAAATGTATATTTTTTTTCTAATATTTATATTCTTTATATTTCAAGAAACAAAATGTTTTTTTTTAAATGGTTTTAGTTTTAATTAACAACATTAATGCTGCAAGTGACATTTGAGACCTACAGCAGAAGAATTTTCAGTGAATAATGACTTAAATTAGGCTCTGTTCCTCTCGTAAAGCAACATACACTCCTACAAAAGACGGTTCCAGAAGGGGGTTTTCACTGATGTCATAGAAGAACCATTTTTGGAATCTTTGCATAATCTTAAAAGAACCATTTTTCTATTTTCAGTGAAGAGTTCTTAGCCTAACCATTTTTTTCTTAGTGTGAGGAACATTTAAAAAGAAATCTGAAGGTTTTTTCACTTTAAAGAACGTTTTTTGGAATGGATAGACTCAATTGATGTTTAAGGTTCTTCATGGAAAAATCAATGCCAATAAAGAACCTTTATTTTTAAGAGTGTAAGCAATTGCACTTGCAATATATCTAGCAATGTATCAGGATACTTTTATGTTTTTGTCAGATTCACCAAATGACTTTTCAGACTGACTGCATGTGTTTGTGCAAGTGTGTGTGTGTGTGTGTGTGTGTGTGTGTGTGTGTCTCCGTTATGAGCTGATGCAATAATGTTGGTGCTCTGTGTTGATGTTTTGATGAAGCCCATGATGCTCTGGGGAGATTTGTTGATGTTGCTGCTGTTGTGTGTGTGTGTGTGTGTGTGTGTGTGTGTGTGTGTGTGTGTGTGTGTGTGTGTGTGTGTGTGTGTGTGTGTGTGTGTGTGTGTGTGTGTGTGTGTGTGTGTGTGTGTGTGTGTGTGTGTGTGTGTGTGTGTGCGTGTTTGAATGAATCTGAACATTTTTTACCTCAATGATGACATTCTGATGACATGCTGCTGTAAGGGAGCACATGAAAATGTGTGTGTGTGTGTCGTTCTGCTCGACTGAGCTAGCGGAGAGAGAAAACATCTGTCACACGCGTCTGAAGTTTCATTTGTGGCGGATCATCAACATAATGATGGAAACAACAAGCCAATGGCCTGAGTGTGAGTGTGTGTACCAGATATTTGTCAGTATATCTTGTGTGTTTGGGCTCCTCAGACAGTAACAGGTGGAGATTAATAATCGTATCGTAGATGCATGACCTCAGGTAGGCCACCATAACTCAACGTCTGTTTATCCGCGTGCCGCTTGAGTGAAAAATGATAGCCGCGGATAAGTAGGCTAACTTACTATCCTTCATTTGTTTGTTTGTTTCTTCGCTGCGAGTCTAACCTGTGGCTATGTGCATTAATGAACGGACGGCTCTTTTGTCTTTGTTTCCCTCGGACAGACGGAAGACGTGACGCAAACAGAAGTTTCCCAGCAGGTGCAACATTCGGACTCCACGGAAAAACAGCAGCCCAAGCGGTTACACGTCTCCAACATCCCCTTCCGCTTCCGGGACCCAGATTTACGGCAAATGTTTGGGGTGAGTCGATGCACTACATGTTTCGGCCCTTTTCCTGGTTTCATCGCCTGGAGATTCACACTTTGTCTGTTAGAGAAGTGCACTGAATCATTAGCATTACGGGCCTGTTCACACCAAGGACGATATATGTAACAGTAACGATAAAGACATCATTTTAAAAATCATTCTAAATGTAAAAGAATCGTAGAGTTCACAGCCCTGCAAACAATAACAACACAGAGGAATGATATCGTTAGAATCGCTTTCATGGTCATTATTTTTTCAAGCAATGAACGAGGCAGACAATCGGAAATCACATGACTTTAATGGTGTGTTCACACCGAACGCGAATTTAATTATTTGCGCGAGTGGATTACATACAAAGTCAACGCAGAGACGCGAATAGACGCATCATTCGCGCCGGGCATTGCGAATTACGCGAATTGGGCGACGCGTTTGCCGCGAATGTTCAAGCGTCTAACTAGACGCGATAGACGCGTATTTGACGCTCTCTTCGTGTTTGGTGTGAACACACCATAAGAGCTCAAGCATTTAAAGGGACAGACGACAAAACTCCAAACACACCCTTATAGTGCGTTATTGTGATATTCTGCGTAAATGTGGACGCTAATATAGTTATCTTTATTGTTATCGGTTCTGTAGTCTAAATGAGGTGGTCACTTAGGGTACGTTTACACCACAACGATATGCTTAAAACGGAGAAGTTTTTACTTTGAGTTTTCCGCGTACAGGCGACATCATTGTCAAAACGATACCCATTCACACGGATCCACGAAAACGACTAAAAACGCTGTATTCTGCTGCCAGGCCATTAGATGGCGATGTAACACTATAGATTGAACACCTAATACGCATGTGCATGACGCCATCGTCTTCAGAGATTCAAGTTTTTTTTTTTTACATGGAGACTTTGAAACCCGTTTTCAAAAGTTAGCATTTTCAGGCGCGCCGTTGTCTTGTAAACGAACGGCCAAACCGCGTAAAATGTTTTACGTTTTTTGTTGAAAACTGTGTCTTGTAAACAGCCCCTTAATGGTTAATGTCAACATCAAAACGGACACTTTACTTTAACTCTTTCCCTGCCATTGATGGAATTTTCCGACAGCCAATGTTTTCACTGTTAGAAACTAGGGGGCGCTATTACGCATTTTCTGAAAGAGTACAGAATCTCCGGAAGGCATTTCTTCCCTTTTTCTTTGAGACTGTTCATAACTTTTTAAGTTTTAATTTGATATTAAAGGACTTTTTCCATTTTTCCACTTCAAAAATGTTTTTGTTTAATTGAATGTAGCATTTTTTTAGCATAATTTAATCCTAGCATTTTCTGAATGAACATTTTCACCAATAAAAAAAAAAAAAAATACCTGTACATGTATTTATTTATTCACAAAGAGTCTAGACGAGATTCATTTGTGTATATATATTGCAAATATTGCAGACGATTATGCTTTAATAATCGAGAGAAGCTTAAATATCAGTATTTTTGTCTTGTTTTCCATCATCAATATTTAAGTATTCTTAAATCAAGAAACATTTATTTGAGAATGAAGATGACTTAAGATAAAGTCATAAGAAAAAATTAAGAAAAAATCTGTCAACGGGTTGAGAAAAATAATTTTGTTTTCTCTTTTGATTACATTATTTTTCTGACCCCATTGGCCGATATTTTTTCCTGTTTTAAGCATGTACTCACTTCATTCTGATACACTTTTCCAACCCGATCTCACGGCAATTCGCACGTATTTTACGAGGCGGCTAATTCGTACAAATTCATACGACCTCACTCGTTTTTTTGCTAAATCGTACATATTTTTCAAGTTGGCCAATTCGTATGAATTCGTACGAATGACCTACCCCTGACCCCGCCCCTAAACCTACCCATCACTGGAGTTTAGAAATTGGACATGAGATAGCGTTGACTCTTCAGAAAAATAAACGTAGAATCTTAAGCCGTTTTGCTTCTCAAGTATATCTTGATGTAAGAATGTGTATATGTTTGTAATGGAAAAGAAACGTTGCAAGATAGTTCCCACTCTCTGAATATCCAGATTGCATCTACCGTTCTGCCCTGCGGGGAAAATCAGATGTTTACAGGCTCTTACTAAATGCACAGACACTGTGTGCGCCGATTCCTTCTTATTTGCTAAAAATCATCTCAATCATCCTAATGACCCGTCAGCAGCAGGCTGGCCAGAAAAGCTGCTTTAAACAGCGCTCATTTGTTTGGGCCGGTGTCGGCCAGTGGCTCTGTGGAAAAGATGATGTTAATTACAGCGCAGACCGCCGTGTAGCCGGATAAATTACATACAACATGGTCTGTTTCCCACATCATGCTCTGTGATAGCTGGATTATTGTTCTCAGAGGCTGCCAGGTCTGTGTGCGCCAAATCCGCTCAGTAATTAGCTTGCGGTCGTTGTGTATAGGTGATCCGGAGACTCCGTATGGATGCCACTGACAATATGGACGACTAGGGACGTTTGTTTAATCACTTTTAACCAAGCTGGCATCAGGAAACTCTCTGAACCTTTCATTTGTCCTGCGAAATGAGTTTTTTTAAAGACACACTCTCAGCATTTTCACGCTGACTGTGAAATTTAAGGTTAACGATGATGATGAAACGATGATGTTTGGTCATGTGACGCATATTGTACCCAATAGATATATGTGTTTAAACCGGCATTGTGCTATTCACTTTCATAATGTTGCTAACGATACAGTGCAAAAAGAAAAATTATTATTGTTTTGTATCTTGATTTAAGAATTTTTTATTTTTAATGGAAAACATTTACTTGGAAAGGCAAATTACTTAAGATATTAAGCTAATTTTTGTCCGAATGAAAGTGAGTTTATGCTTAAAACAATAAAAAAAAAGTATCTGTCAACGGGTTGAAAAAAAATAATTTTGTTTTCTCTTTTTATAAATTAGCTTTTTCTGACCCTCTTGGCAAACTCACTTCATTCTGATACACTTTTAAAAAAAAAAAACGTCAACAATCATCAAAATTAAGTGACTTTATGCCTAAAACAAGAAAAAAAAGATCTACCAGAAAAATAATTTTTTGAATTAAGTTTATTTTCTGACTCCACTGATATATATTTTCCCTAGTTTCAAGCATAAACTCACTCACCTTATTTATAATCACCATATTTATAATAAATCCATCATATTTAGAAAATATTATTAATCATATAATATAATGAAATATATTTATTGTTACTACTGTAAAGCCAGAATAAATTACAACGGGATCTCCTTTAAAGTTGTCAGGATCTTAACTTTTTTTTTAAAAATTACATTTATTCGACAACATTTTTTAATCAAAATAAACCGATAGTATTAACTTAAATATTGTGCGAGACATATTACTTTAGCAAAAGTAATCCCCACCTCATACATTTATACGATTTTTGAACAAAACAAACCACTTTTATGATCTATTTTCCCACAAAATGCGTTGATCCATAAATGTTCGATAAAAACATATATATTTTTTTCTGAATCATACACTATGGGAGAAATGAAAAGCACATTTTCTTCAAGGTTCTAACAAGTTGAGACATAATAAGCACCATCTGCCCGCCGCGGACTATGAAGTGAGCCTCGCTAATGACTCGCCGCCACGCTAACAAAGCTTGGCGGCGTTGATTAGCCTTCGTGGCTAATGGAGATTTAGCCTGTGGTGAGCAGGGCCGAAGCTTTCCTTTGCCAAGAGAAAGCAGTGCAAGCTAATTAGCTGCTTGGCTAACGGAGAGTCGAAGCTAAATGAGTGGGGCGTCAGGTTAGCGTCGCAGGCTAAAGCGCTGGAGTCTGGGAGCCGCTAATGAGTGCAGAAGTGCGGGGGCTCATTATCCGGAGCCGAGTGGTTTATTACTGAGGATGTCCATATGGAAATGTGAGGTAGGAGAGAGCGTTCCTGGAAGTAAAACCCCCCGGCTTTGTGTTGGCTTACGGGCTGTTTCTTCTTCCCCTCTGCCTGTGGGCCTCAAGGGCTTCTGGGAATCTCTCTCGCAGGGGGCCTTTACCTTCATCTCCAGCTATTCCCGCTGCGCAGACGCCGCGTTAGCATTCCACCTGCGGCTCTGCTCTTTTAAGAGACGGAATTAAAGATCTGCTTAAATCTGAGCAGCGAACAAGTCTTCATCGGCATGGAGTCCACTCGCATTACAGAAAACCCCACCAATCAGAGCACTTCAAAAGACGCAGTCCGTGCCCAAACCGCCTTCAATACTGCTGTGCTTTGCAGAATACAGCATGAGCTTTTTTGGCTGGGTACTTTGTGCATAATTGGAAAAGCCAGCTAATCCAGCTTCTGAGGGAGAATGGTTTGACTCTGGACATTCAGGGTTGAATTGAGAAGGCCTTTTAAATTACAATTCAATTCTTGCATATGAATTTAGGTTGCAAACAAGATGCTGAATTGCTGTTATCTTCAAATGACGTGAAATTGTCTTTTTTTTAACTAGACAAGTGAATTTGATCATGATAAACTTGACAATGGCTTAAAGTGTTAAAGTTTATGAATATTGTACTCTGGACTTTCAAAATTGAATTGAGAATGCCTTTTACATTCCAATTAAATTCCTGAATGTGAATTGAGTTTGCAAACAGGATGCATACATTTCCGAATAAATTGAAATTCAAAGAAAGTCATTTTAAACTAGATTTTCTAAGTTTGATGTTTTAGATGATATTTACGTTTGATATTACGTTTGATATTTACGTTATATATTTCATCATAATTAATAAATTACCTTTTGTGAACCAGAGAGGAAGAACGCTTCTTTTCCCAGTCAGTGTTGCCAAGTCAGTGGTTTCGGGGTACTTTTAAGCTGTAGCCGCGGGTTATTTTTTTTTTATCCTCGGGTTGATTTCCACCCACGTACATATGATTTTGCCACTTCAACACCTTAAAACACCCTCAGACGTACAAATTCAGTGGAGAATGTGGCTGCCCGACAGAGAAAATCCCATTGGGCTATTGACTTTTGACTGGCTATT